AGTAGTAAGGTGTTACAGACCCTTGCCTAGTGTACCTATCGAACGCGGATACGCAGAATCAGTGACGCAACAAACGAATGGGCAATGATGATTCAAGCGGACCTTGAGAAGGAGGATTACTCACGGCCGTTCTTAAATTTTTAGCTGCTTTGTAACGGAGACCGTACGGCTTGGTGATCTGTTCAAACCCCAATTTCACCCCCATGCCTCATTCGGTATCGTAGAATCCTGTCCGAGAGTTGTTTTTCCACGTTAACCTGAATCCCATCCACTTCGCAAACCTCCTGGCAGAACACAAACTGATCGAGAATATCGTCTTTAGGTTTTAGCTCTTGCTGTCCGAGGGTCGCGTGCGGACGTCCATGTCGCTTTCTAGCATATCCTTCTGTACGCAGACAGACCTCGAGTGGCCGGTTCGAATGGACGGTACCCCGTGCTAATGAACAATAGCACCATTTAGCCAGCGGAAACCTACTTTTGGAGTTGTCCAGCCATTCTTGCTAGCTGCAATCTACCAGTCTTTAGCAAGCTTTGGCTCTTGGAACCAGGCATCTTGCTTCAGGTACAATAACTGGTGGTATATGTTCACCTTTTGAACTTACTGTTTCAATTATTGTAATCCATTAGCAGTTGCCCTGAATAACTCTGCATGGTCGCTCGCTAAACTGCAGTATTTACCTAGAAGCACAGCAGAGTCCCATTGCAAAGCCAATCTCATCAAAATTACAGGTATCATCTTCATGTATACCGTATCCTTAAATTGCTGCTTGTACGGTCTGAAACGGAAGGTTTTATAGCCTTTGGATTCTCCTGTTTTGCCTTTTGTAGGTCATTAGTTTTTTGAATTGTGTACGTAGTCTAGCATAGCGTTTAAAAAACGTATAAGGTCAATTAATACCAAGAACTGCAGGAGGATCCTGTAAGCGCATGCGGAGAAGTATTTGAATCATTCCACATATAAACTCCGGCCGAATTGGGAATCCCCGTTTATCTGCATCAAAGAGCCGCTTGAAAAGTGATTCGCCTTCAATCAAGTTAGTCTTATGACTATTGGCGCGTGTTTCTAATCGTGGACTAATTCCATCAAGCTATCTGAGTACGGTTGTCTTAGTCCGGGAAGCTAAATTACAAGTAGCGGCTGCATCAAATGCTAGTGCGAGAGGACAATGTTGTGTTGAATGCAACAAAAATTTTCATTTTGGCTTACGGATCGGAGAATCTGTTGCATTAAACCGTTGCATAGTTGACCCTGTTGATTACGTTATATGTGGGACAAGCTTTTCTTTACGAACCAGGGTCGGCCCGGGCGGCATCCCTGCCATTTGCCGGAAATTAAGTTTGATAATAATGGGAGGCCAACGCTAAAACGAGCCATGATGTTAGTGCTGCTTTAATGAGGAGTGCTATTTTCTCTGATTCCATACTAACTGTGGAAATAGACAACAAGTTTCTTACAGGCTGCATGATAACATAGCTTTTCCCAAGGTACTAAAGTAAAAAATAGAGTACAGTTTATATGTAATCTAAGACGGCATCCATTCAGTTAACTGTGCCTTAGGGAACAAAATCACATGCGGCTAAATGTAGTAGAGACATTTACACGAAAACTTTGCTTTAATATATCTTTACAACACCTGTCCGAAAACATCTGCGGCAATATCAAATCCGGAGTTTACTACGAGGAACGGTTTTTCGATATCTCAAGCCTTGCCTGAGTGACAAGATACATACCACAGTTGCCCTCGGCATACCCTGCCTTCCATTTGCTGGAAGGGTCAGGTCCTATAGTGATATAAGCCATTCCATTATTGAGTATGCAAACTGGGGTCTGCAACTTGCTGAGTATATATATAGCCTTTGGTGCGAACTCTAATGTTTGATTCACGTCACAATTATAAGGCACCTAATCAAGGTTAAGTTAGGGGTTACGGTCCTTAATACGTCTTAAACGTTGCCATGTAACGTTAACGTCATATTAGTAGCAACTATTATATAATTATCTTATATATCTCGCGATTGATTGTTCTTAAGGGCAGTCTCATAGATATGAAAAATGTCCGCATGCATCCATCCGCAGAATCCGGTATAATTTCAAAACACAGCAGTGTACCATAGTTGTCTAAACTTTCCACGACTGGTAGAATACAACCAGGATTACTGTCTGCAACACAACGTTTTGCAAACGTCTACTATCGCTCTGGACTTTATTCTGTTCGGCCATAGTAGTCGTCGACGTGTCGAGATAATTGTATTAGAGGCACATAACACAGGAAAATATAAGATTCACACGAAACACCATCTAGAGGCAATGGCCCTAGGCCACTACCAAGGAGTGTGTGTCTATAATAGCCAAAGGCTCCATATGGGTGTTGAACTTGATTAAAATTATAATAATAAGTAATTCGCTCACGCGGAGCCACGGTTACAGGAGAATGACTAGTGTTCAGGATAAATCAGATGCAATCAGAAGGCATGTTTGTGTTATTCGCACGCGCGATGCCACATTTTTAAGCAAGAACTCAGTGCCGTAAAGTAAAACACAAGCGACATATCTGCATATGTGAAGCTGCAGTTGCGCATAAGGCTCTCCTATACAGCAGGAGGAATAATCTAAGTGGGAATATTACTTCACAAGGTATATTGGAGAAATAATCCGTCCTGAAAATTATCACATGGATTTTTTCAGAGCATCTGGGTTAGCTGCTGTCTGCTGTCAGAAACTCAATTCAGCAAATGGAGGACGGGTACTCCTTTCTCGCGTTTAGTGCCCCTGGACCGCAGTTCCCCACAGTCCTGACGCGCACAGGGAAGGTATGTGACATGTCAGAATTCCTTTGTCGCGCTTCGCCATGCCTATATCTTGCTACTTAGATATAAGGGAAGAGAGAAAACAAAGATAAGAAAGATACCAGTGACTAGCCATTAAAAATGACCTAACCGTGATTATAGGAATACAATAGGTTTTATGGTAATTAAAAATAGGACATCGGAATTTGAATAGCATACTAACAACAATAGGCATAGTAGGTGGCCACCGAACGGCCCGGCATTTGCATAACAATATGGGGGAAGCCTAGGTCAAAAGGGAAAAAACCCATATCAGGCCGTCATAGAAACCAAGAGTTGCTGTCCTGGTCAGAATACCAAACAATTTATTCTTAAGATGATGCGGGTATAAACTGCCATTCCTGATTTTGACCCTTGTTACTTGTCCAAAAAATGATCGGCGTTCCATTTTTATAATCGGAGCCCTTAAGATCAATCACCATATTGTCAAAAGCCACGCTTATGATCCTATACTTCTATTAGCATAGGTTATTCAGTGCGTATTCCATGAACTATACGGCTGTGTTAGTTTACTTTTTTCCACTTTCCACCTTAATACTTCATTAGCTTTGGGGCTAAGTCGGGAGGTTTTCGCATCCTGGTCAAGCCCATCGACTATAACACCGATTAGCCCGCAGATTGATTCACTTCAATATAAGAAGCAGACCTCCACCAGCGAGATACTCGTTTGTGTCCGCGTTCCGGAAAGCCCATTCATCACCACTCCTAATATTTTCAGCCGTCCACCTCTGCGAGGCTTTATTTTCACTATCCCTTTATGAATGTCAGTATAATTAGTGCTCAATTATGCACATGGTGTACTTCAAGTATATAGTTCCATATGCAAACGCGGCGCGACGTATCTTTTGCTGGTTGAATAAGCTTGCCTACTTTGTCTGCCGACTGGATGTAATAATCCTTGCCGGTCCACAAGCTGAGACATAACTGCCGATTTGAAGTCTCGAATATTAGGTATTAGGAATGGAAATATATTTGATATTCCTTGTTATAAAACAAGCTAAGCAATATACCTGTGGAGGTCATGTAATCCTTGTTCACTATTCATTGCCTTGAGTGGGGTGTAGTTTTCCATACTTTGCCAATACATATTTGTCACTCTGTGTTAATAATATCACTATTATGGAAGGATAGTGGACCTCGTAGCTCATTGTGGCAAAATAATTCAATAGAGACAGCCGGAACAAGGGATCCTGTGAGGAATCCGGTACAACTTTGCTCTAGAATACTACTTGCGTTGACGTATTTCAACACAAAGATAGCCGGAACAAGGGATCCCGTAGAGAATGTTTTGTTACCTTGCTCTAGACTACTACTTCAACGTAATTCAACACAGAGACAGCCGGAATAAGGGATCCCATAGGGAATCTTGTGTAATCTTGCTATTGCAAGACCAAACTTCTCAACAACAGCCATAGTGATGTATACTTTTAAATTATGACGCTCTCTATTATCCCTAGACTGGAATGTAAACAGAGATTTTTGACCGCGTGCAGTATGATACGAAGCAATAACCTTGGGAGTGTTTGCCATCAACTCATACCTGCGTAATTTAGGCTCCCAGGGGCTGGAGAACCCAAGTCCGTTCAGCTGCCACATATGACATATCGATTGTAGTTGAATAACTCGAGGCTACAAAACAGTACACCAACCTTCGTCCACCCACACATATCCACAACAATCAGATAGTCGCCGCGTATACTGCAATAGCCAATACAAGTGCTCTATTTCTTACTATTCTTATTTATTTTTCTAGCCAATTCTATGTTTGTAATGGTACTGGTGATGGCAAGTTCTGCTTTTAGATAGCTATGGAAGTGAAACCCAGAGTTAGGACTATCACTGACTTTCCCCATTAAACCACATCCTAAAGTCAAAAGAGACACCAGGGGCCAATGAGACACCATCATTCTGGGCTCAATGAACATGGTTGGAACTATTGAAATTGCACGGACTAACAGCTATTACATAACCATGGAAATAGAACGTTCTAGTGCTCTATTTATCAACTACAGTACGTTAACGGACTGCCAGGTTAATAATGGTGACGTAAGTACGCGCGGGTCAGCACTGTATAAAAGCTACACTATGTCTCGTGTACTACTATTGCTAACAGCCCACCTACATTGGCAGACCTAAAGAAAAGCAAGCGCATAATGTATAGCTTTATCAGCCTCCTGCTGCTCCCTCTAGTTCTCGCGCACGTTGTCCAGGTAATCTTCTTTGGCAGTATCAACTAGCCACTCTATCAACCGACAAACTCTATTAACAATGGACAGGACAAATTTCCCTATCTATGCAATAATACATCTTGTGCTGAAGTGCAGAGCAACTTCACAGATAATAGCACAAAGTGTGATTCCTGCCTGTGCAATAATAAGCTCCTCGGGCCAGCGGAGTTTAACATAACCGACGATATTGAATTTAACGCCCTCTTTAACGGATATGACCGGTTTGCGGGTTCTTGCCCTGACCACTTTCTCGACAAGTACGTCAACAAGACAACAATCAAGTATCAGTACCCCAAAGAACAAGGGTACGCAGTCTACAATTGTAGCTCACGGGTTAACGAGATTTTCATCGCAAACCAAACATATCTCCTACCTGTGGGATACGAAATTGACCGGTTTGGCGATGGTCAGAATGGCCAGTATCTAGCCCCTAGGGGTACTCCTTATGCCTGGAGATCTATTCCACCCGATCATGTATTTACCGACAGACCCAGTCTGTGGACGTGGCGGGTATCACAGACCTTCAATATTTCAGGGGGCCTGATTAAGCCGGCGTTTGGACAGCCAGGGGGTGGATTGCAGTTTTTCTGGGAAAATGGCACTGTCGATCTTGAGAAGAAGGGGTGGATTGTCTTAATAAAGGCTGTTTAAAAAGTAGTAGCTCGTTCATCTTTTACAGTTGAACGCTCGCTCGGTAGGGTTTTTTGGGGTTATTCACTGCCTTTGTAATGTCTTACGTATGTACATAGTATTACACTGGCCGCAAGATTTGATTTGCACCCTGGTAGATCGTTTCTTCGTTTGTAGTTGGCCCTTCAAACTTTGGCTAATCTGGTTGGTTCGGACATTCTGTCACTCTGTATAATAAGGTGGGCTATCCGGGCAATTTGTTGGTTGGCCTATTCAGGAGGTTGTATTATTCACGTATGACTGTAACAGTCCGAGGTGTTATATACAATATTTGATCTGAATCTAATGAGGCTCTACATGCGAGGCTATGTTCTTGGACAATGACGATGAAGACCATAAGAATATCAATGTCCTGTTGTGTTCCCTAGATCGCCCGTATCATGGCCTATGTCGAACCCTGCCTGAGGCACCAAGACTGCTGTATTCACTGTTAATCTGATCCTATAACACAAGATCCCACAGTTCCTATATGATAGAATTCTTTCTTTCTTTCTTTCTCTTCCTTCTCTACGTTTGATGTTTCGTTGGATCGCCACTTTAGATACAACACCTACATCTTGTATAAAGGTGTTTAGGATCATCGCTGTTGTGAATCAAGGCTCGATCAAGTAAATTATCGAGTTCACCTACAGAATAAACTCTGTATGGAAGCATATTGCTTTTCAATTAATCTAATGTTCATCATCCTTATAAATCCCCAAGTTCACTATGAGAAAAAGAACGATTAATCTTCTTTTGAATTAACGCTAGGCCTCGGCTAAAGCTAATTAGGTAAGGTGCTGCTTATTAATCACAGATCTTACCTAAATAGGTCAAGTATAAAAATGTTTAAACCTCTATATCTCTACTAATTCTATATATATAGAATTGATATTTTAAATATATATATATATATATATATATTCTAGATCTATATAAAAATCTAGAAAATTGACTATATGATGCCAAGAAAAACCCGCTCGGGTTCCCCGCACCCGGGCCGGGTTGGGGCGGGTTCGGATCGGGACCAGCGGGGAACCCGTGCCACTCTAATAGGAACTTGAATAGCTTCAAATTTTACGTTGAAGTGAGGCAGACCAAACACGCCGAATGGCGGGTGGGCCTGCTGGCCTAAGAGACGGCTATCACGAGATTTCTTCTGTTTGTCCCATTTGCTAACCCGGCGGATCAGGGTACAGATCAGAACGGATCCTTTCGAGGTCTACTCTATACTCTATAGTTTATCTGGTCGAGCCTCAATTCACAACAGTGACACGTTCCTATCGCTTTATCCTCAATGCGCTGTCTCGTAGCCTAATACATGCCAGAATGCACATAGACATAGTAATGTTACACAGTTTTAATGGAAACAGCCGATATTACATGGAAAGTATGTCTCTTGCTACATAAGCATTAATTTACTCCTTGGGTTTTGTTGTTATTCCAGGGGAAGATGGCATTTGAAAGGAGATAAGACGTAGATTGGGCAGTGTCTTGCCTGAATAGTTACAGGAAAGGGAAAAATCTCAGGGGTTAAAATCCCCGCACGCTTGCCAAGACGCTAGCTACTATCAACAGGTTTCTTTTACTCCCATCGAAACGTTTCCACTTACACGTTGCATACTTTCAGAGAAACATAGTAGCAAGGAAGACCCGTTAATATTTGCAATTAGACTAAATACGTAGCAGTAAAATGTGCCTCTGCATTTGCAATATAGTGGAGGGAAAACCTAGGAGGAAAAAACCTCCACCAAGGCACAAATCCAAATAGAAATCTTTCAGATCCATAAGTCAGTCCCCATAGTCTTTCCTAAAGCTTCGGATATGACGGTGCGGCCTGAATTAGACATACTGAGATATTACACTCTGGAAGAGTGGCTTCAAAGGAAGGGGAGGGAGGGACAAAGCATACCTTGGTCGATCTTCTTAGTCAACCAGGTCGAAATTCCACCTCTGGTTCTCAAAATGAGCATCTTTGGATTTGTAAATAATGGCCTTGTCGCCAGGCCCGGGCGTGGCCGGGTCATTCGCAACGTCCACTACTCTATTGCGAAATGCCACATTTTCTACCCTATAACTTCATTTAGTACTCCTCAATACTTTCTTTCTATGGACTTACTTGAACGAGCCGTCGGAGTCTTCTGCTAATCGCCATCTCAATATTTCATTCTTCTCCGGCTTGAGATTCGAAGCAAATAGTTGGCCGTCACTGTGATCAGCTGTACAGGAACAAAATTAGCAGGAGATTCAATTAACAGTGAGTTGTCCAGTGACAGAAACTAATAGCTTGATTCTGCCTGCATTCAACAAATAGAAAATTATACATACCGGGAGGAGATATGTATGCAGTATCTTCATCTTCGTTATCCATGTAATACTCGTTGTTACTAGTCTTGTAGACTTTCCATTTCTGCGACGCTTTGGCCGTGTCTCTTTTCCTGTAACATTGTTAACAGGTACTTGTCTAATATAGTTAACATTGTTAACAGGTACTTGTCTAATATAGTTAAGCACGATACTGTTCATACGCCAAAGAGATGCGGTTCCATATCTGTCCATCGTTCAGCTCCAGAACTTGATTCGCTGTCTTGGCACAGCGAATTCTGTAGATTTTTTTGTCCTCCGGCGGAGCCATAGTTGTTCAGACACTGTGAAATAAGCTTGTATTACCAGAATTTTGCATTTCTAGATGCGAATGACCTTCTATTTATCTCTTTTGGTGGATCCCTATGGTTTCCGTGTTGTGGTCGCGGGTTTCCTAAAATAGTATGTCCGGCCCTGTGTTTTGAAGAGACATGGAGTATGGTTGCAACGTTGACGCACGAAGTCAATCATAAACTATTAGATGGCGCTATAATGAAGTGAAGAAACATGCACTCGTGGCGATGTGATGACGCCTGGATTTCTTCCGAGTTCATTACTACGATAGCTAACGGAACAGCCCAGACAGTCAATTGGTACTTGGCTAAGGAAGCTCTACTACCTGAATTTCCTAGTAGTACCGGGATTTGAAAGGCTTTTTAGCTTGCTCTTCGGCGTTTCTAAGAACAGGCTATGTAGGATATGATGTCTGAATGGTCTGCTTGTCACCAACCAGTCGCGTAAGTGAACCGTTAAACGTAAAGTCCAGAGCCTTCCATTCCGCTAGCAGTAACGATGAATTCTAGATCGGGACACACAATAAGGATGGGAGGTGGGTACAAAGAAGTAAGTAGGGCGGGAATGTAACTCGCACTGTTGCAGCTGGAAAAGCCCTTGTGTAACTTCTTGTAGTCCCACGGTAACCATACCGGTTTGCCCAACTGCGGAAAATGTTGTAATTATGAGGACACATAATCTCATTATAGTAAGAGCACTGACCTCAACAATATTCAAGATCTATATGTCTCTGCTACCCGTTTTAGTTTCACTAGTTGCCACGGAAATTGACTGTCTAGTTGGCTGATATTAGAGGTCTTGGTTACATAATGGACCTATCATGAGGCCCCCTGCAGTTTATTTCCAAAGATCTGACTACGTTGTCTCTTGCACACTTCCTCCTGTTACCTGTGTCTCCCTACGGCGACATCCCTCACGTCGAGCGAAACCGAGAAGCCGAATAATACTTTGGAAATTGAGTCGAACCTCTACCGCAAAATAAAGGTGTAGAAAGCTATAGGCAAACATCCCTTTTCTCGGCAGTGTTCAATGACAGGATTTATCCTCCCGCTACATTGCTAACTCTCTCTCCCTATTCCTACACCATAGGATGATTATGTTGTAGGGCTCCCTCGAGTTTCTCTTAGTTTAGCCCATGTTTGACGTTCCCGCGTGGCCCCACCCTGGTGGTTTCTTGGAATATTTAACTATGAATCCTGTCTCACAGGAGCCTCCTTGTTCATGCTCGATTATATCGCGTAGTTTTTGCTATACTGTTTAAAGGGCTGAGTCGCTTTCATCAGATCTAAGAATTCTTAGAAAAGATAAGGGCTACAGATTGTTAGGAATCTAAGGCAAACATCAGTATAAGTTTAGTGGGCTTCTCCTTAGGATCTATTAAGAGTAAGCTAAATCTGTCACTCTAAAATTATAGATACACCGTAGCTTACAAACATAGGCCAAGTACCAGAATCATCAATATAGGTATTAATTTTTCTATAGATGAATCGATCCCTGGGGTGATCGCTTTCAATTAAAAAGACCATTATGCCACGAACGGCTTGACAACACCAAACGCGGCATACGTAGTACTACTAAGCATGCTCTGTGGCCCCTACAGAGCCATACACATCGTATAACTGGTGACTATGATTAGTGTTGAACGCTTGTGGACATATAGATCTTGGCACACTCAGTTTTGCCCCTTAAAACGGGATGGTGTGTTCTAAATCTCCCCGCCAAGGGATTAGTTACAGTAATATATACACTCTATACTACGGAATATATGTAGAATATTTGAGTATACTAGTATACTTTTAATGTATCAGGTAGTTAGTGGTCGTAAAAGTAACTCCACTGTGATATGATATGGAAGGCAGTCTAGGGCGCGACTAAGATAAACTAGATAAACGATTATATTGCAATTTGCTGCCCCGCAGTGCTACAACTGTGGGTTATGTAGAGACTGCGCATGGATATACGTGCAATGTTCTATGTTAAGCGTTCAAGTTTAGCTAAAATGACATGTAATAGTTTCTGGTTGACCTCTGACGAGACCAGTTAATAGTCTAATAGTCACAGCCATCAGGTGAAGATGAATATTTGAGAAGCGCTCGACATTACTGTGTACTGTCTATATTGGATAAAGTACTCGCTCATTCGAGCCCTGCTGAAAGATCCAATCTTCAAGAAAGGGTATGTACCATCACGGTGTGGAACCGGAAGGTTTCTGTTTGAGAATCTTCTTTCTTCGCCTCCTTTCTTCTATTCCCAAATGTGTCCAGTTAACATATAGACAAATGTCCTCGGGGAGCACTGTGATAGAGACACTAAGTCCAGATATCATCTTGTTGAAAGGCTGTTCTTTAGCAATAGGGTATTCTGGCTCGGGGAACGCCTCTTCCTAAATGGGATATTCTGGCTCAAGGGCTTGTTCTTCGGGAACAGGATATTCAGTTGAAGGCTCAACTGTAGGGTTTCACCCAGTCAGTGACCCACTCTGATAGCTATCTCTAGAGCATTTGATCTGTTTACCTTTCTGTGACATTATCTGTTCGTTTTGGCTTCCCTGACCTTCAGAACGAAGCGAGGATATGGTCTCAGAGTGGATATCTGCCATCATCCTCGTTAACTCTATATGAAAGGGGCGATCCTCCCCAAATCCCTGGTAAATCCCATCACATGTGAATATTGTTTCATCTAGCACAAGCACCTTCATAAGCTTTATATAGATACAGCCACGCAGCCAGCATCTGTTACCTAGGAGTTTTGAAAATATCATTCTAGTAGCCTCTAGCACATTGAAAATGGCAATTGACTCGCCGATAATTTTGATATACTTCCTGGTAAGCGCCTCTAGACCATGTATCTCATAGAGCATGGCAGCACGTTTCCTTACCTAGTTGACAGGCTATCTACCCTGTATAGTAGATCCTCCGTTACAACAATATATTTATATAGAAAAAAGTTATAGTAATTTATTTAAGATTAGGAATTATATAGTAAAGAACTATATATTAGCTAAAATCTTTAACAACAGTTATATATATCACTTCTTGAAAAATAGATCTTAGTTATAGATTTAGAGATATTATAATATTTTATACCCTCAGTTAATTATTGAAGGGATGAGCTTAGTACTATAATTTTTAATTAATCTACTATCCAAAGTAATCAGCTTAGCTGAGCAATTATGAATTAGCCCGGAATTGATCCCGGATTATTCCGGCGCACTGGTTCAGTGCTCCGGGAGTGCTCAGTATATATACTTCTGTCTATCCCCAAACTCCGGGAGTAATCACTGAGTGAAAAGCGGCCCCGAGCTAGTCCTGTTCCCGAAAGGGAAAGTCGCAAAGTTTCTAAACAAGAACCGTTCACAAGTGTTGTCAAATATGCAGACAAAATGGTCCAGACACTCTTGACCATGTTCCAAATTGCGGGGCTCGTTACGATGCCTATATGAAGGGAAAAGCAAATAGCAAACTATGTAGGGACTTGCATGACCATCCTTCAGTCTCCTTGAGTTGCTGATGCGCGTGCGGTCCCCTCGGAACCCTAACTACCTCAGTTCTTTCCACGGCATTGGTAGATGAAGCTTCCGGAACCACGGGGCTCGGGCCGCTCTCCACTCTTCCTTGCATGTAACCTTGGAGGCTAGCCCTGGCTTTTTGTACAACTACAGCGGCTTCTATGTTACGTAAACTCTCTCACCACAAATCCACATTGACAAGCAGGGCACAGTCCACATCATACATCGTTATCGTTCTCATAGGTCCCTAATGGCGGTTCTCCCATTACCGACACAAGGCCGTGCCCTTTTTCTACGGAAGTTGTACAACACATGCAGATGTCGCCTATGCAGCAAGTCTCCGAACGCTGAGCTACTCGGCGCCACATCATGCGGAAGATGAGGGGTAAAAATGTGGATAGTTGGTTATATGCAAAGCTTGGGCCTCATAGATACGCATAGAGTGAATCTAGACCAGATATCAGCAGTTGACGGCTTGAAATACGTTCCTATTAGGGATTTCCAATGCACGCATGCCCGAGTCCAATTTGACAAAGTACGAAAAACAAAAAAAAAAAAAAAGGTATCAACTGGGAAGCGGATGCTTTCGTAGTGCTGTTCAGGGTTGTGATGAGACATTCGCCTTGGTAGAGGAAGCATTAGAGCAGAAAGGAGGGGGCCGCGAATGCATCTCGGCGTACGCATCCATACAAGTTAAGTATATACACTTCTTGTTGACTGCATCAGTGCCAAAGTGGTGGTCGAGACTGAGCCAATTGGAATATTTGGAACCTGATCAAAGGGCCACGCAAGACATCGAGATCGCCGATCTAGAGCAAGAGTAACATTGACCATAGACTATATATATCTGCGTCTTTCCCCTTCATGGATCACTTATTTCTCCATCAAAATTTCATTTTGGTGATCGAGCCACCATAATCCTCAGTATTCTCCAGTCTTTGCTATACAACCTGCTTCTCTAAACCGTCACAATGGTCGATGCAGCTTTCTACCAGGAGGACGTTGGAGAGGCCTACGTCTTTTCTGGTAGGCGTTACGCACGTGTCAAATGGACTCCCTATACCGCGGAAGAAAAGATTACTTGGGGTCCAGCAAAGATTTCCGATAATTGGCCAGCCATTACTGCGGCAGGATTTGGGACTGTTGAAGCCGTGCTTCCTATCCCAGATGTTCGAACCGAATTCTACTTCTTCTTTGGTGGTCGTGTCGCCCGTGTTAAGTTTGCGCCGGGACATAACGATACCATTACTGAAGGACCTCTCAAGATCACCGACAAATGGAAGAGTCTTTCCAGCGCTGGCTTCGATACTATCGACGCCGCAATGTCTGTTCCGGGTCAAAAGAACGAGGCCTATCTCTTTAAGGGAACAAAATATGTCAGGATCGATGTGCAGAACGACAAGATCACCTATGGTCCTGCAAACCTGGCTGATGAATGGCCGGGACTTACGAAGGCTGGGTTTGATTCTGTCGATGCTGTTATCCCTGTGCCAAACGCTAAGGTCGACGGGGAGGCTTACTTTTTCAAGGGATCGCAGTATGCGAGAATCCAGGTTGTCCGTAGTGCTGCGGACAAATTGACTTGGGGACCATATCCGATTGCGGATTACTGGAAGACTCTCGACTGGATCTAAGTGGCTCCTTTATGCTGGTAGTGCGTGAAGAGGGATGTGCTTGTCGGGTGGGGGAATTAACATGAGTGCGGCAAGGACTAGCCAGCTTAGTATGAGCTTTAAGAGAAACAAGTCTTCATGATGATTGCAACACAATACAATTCTACCGGCCTGTAAATAAGGAATATGTATATTCTGAAAAAAAGCTTAGTTTAACAACACCACTCCGCTACCACTATGTTCTATAAACACAGAGAGGTGTGTGATTCCCACTAGGAGTCACCTAACCCGCTCGACCAAAAGGCTCACAATTGAATCCTGAACAAGGATTCAATCGGTTAGGTGATATATATATAGGGTGGTTGCTACCAAGAACCACAGGTGGCTAAGGCTAAAGCCAGAGCAAAACTGTCAGAAACGATGGTGAAGGCTGGAGATTTAAGAAAGCAGCTCAAATATATTATTGTGTATCACAAGTGAGGGGGAAACAAAAGATGACATAACTAAGCATCACACATTTTCTCCCATAGCAATAATTATACCTGCGAGTGACCCAAGCCCGCTGGAACATCTGCGGTGTCAAGCACCAGGACATCTTCAGCACCGGGGGTATTGTAGTCTCATACCACGCAGAACCGAAATATACCTTACGGAGGCGACCTCGTAGTACATTCTTAGCTGGCGATCTCTTCTTGCAACTCTTTCATCATACAGTTTGATGCATATTCCAGTGTCGGTTCACCCCAGCGCTCTGCCCAATCTTTCAACCTTATCTGGTGGTCGTATTCATCTTCGGCAATGCAATATTGATTGATTTCCAGTTCACCGCGCTTAGCAAGTGAAAGGCATTCCCGGAGGAACTGGGACATGGTATACCTTTCTCGTGTGCCTAGGGCCACAGAGCTGATTCTGAAAATAGACAGACTTCTAACGCGTGTCCAATAAGGCATATCGTGTATGTGAAAGTCTTCCGAGTCAAAAGCTTACTTTGGTCTTCTTGTTATCGCAGATTTGTGATAATTCGTTCATAAAACTTGGAAGTGTATGTCTTGATCAAGTATATCTTTGGGAATATATAAGAAAAGTAGATAGTAAGCAGAACTTTGGAAGATGATATGGGCTCAATGAAGGTGAGGGACGGAGTGTTATTTATGCTTATACCAAACTGGTCCTAGCTAACCTGGAGCTTCAGAAGCGCCTACCAGTCATGGAGAGCTCCTGGAATATATAGATAGAACGATTTTCACCCAGATAAATAAAACTCGCGTGTTCTATAGCCTGGCTCTAGTAGCTAGTTTTTCCGAGATCTTCACCTAGGCGAAGTGGCATTTATAAATTCGTCACAATTTTGAGGACCTTTTCCACTACTGTGTTCACATAACTATGGAGAGTACCTGGTAAAATAGGCACTTATCTTATGTTTAATCTTCTAATCAAAGGAACATGAAGTGTGTCCAGCTTTAAAATGGGCTATATTTGGTCGATATGTATCCGTACAGTGTCACAGAGGTCGGTATATGCACGCAATGGGAATCAGTAGCAGGTCCGTGCCACTCTGGGCTCTTCCCTTTGTCTAATTGCCGGTACAGAACAAGGAAACTTCCGTATGAAGCAGAACTTTACCCTAGGCTACATCCTTGAAACGGTTCCATATACGCCGAGGAATGCCACTGGAATACTGCTGGCCTAACACTAATCTTCTACAACGGGGCCTTCCGGAGTTTCGTACAATGATAATCAAAACTGCTATCATCCGGCTCTCATGCGGTGCCTTACTCACACGTTTGACTTTAAGTAAAGGAGTCTTTTCTAAAAGGCCATTATGTTTATGGACTTTTTCCGGAACAACAATGGACTTATGAAAACAAGCTTTTTTCAAGCGTATATCTACTTGACTTTGCCGAGACCGTATGAGGAGACTATGTTGCAAGGGAAGGCAAAAGCTGGCAAATGGGGGTGGGTTAATTAGTAGGAGGGTCAGTTATCTTGGAAAACAGGTGCAGAAACATGTTTGTCCATCACACTAAGGAGAAAATCAAGACAAGATCCAGGGTACTTGGTATTTTACTTATGTATAATACGTAGTGTGGATATTGCCAGAGAGATGCAACTGAAATACTTCTACACGAAGAAAGTAAAGAATAAGGAGGCCCGCAGATTGTTCGAGGCACAGTATAGAGTAAGCGGGTTGGATACAAGCAGGTATCTTCCTCTGATGATCCATATTACTGGGTTCTTGATCCCTTTTTCTTCTACCTTTCGTTTTGCCTTCCTATCGTCAGCCCAACATAATTTTGCAAATATTGAACCAAGGTGAAGATTCCAGGCCGTAGTCTACCCTGCGCAGGGGTCAGAGGTCAAGTAAAACATTTTCTATGTGGTAGCATTGATAGAAAACCTGTTATAACAGTGCCAAAGGATAGGTCTGTTGCACAGAATAACGATAATTACACAACACCCCACGCCCTTCATGTAATACTTCGTTATAATGCGGTGTTAGTGGCGGAGATATGTATTATGTATCCTTGTATGTGTTTAGGGCATACCATTCGACATAAGTGGGTTAGATTGCCTACTTGGCATTTGTCTGGATAGCGACATCAAAGTCAAGTGTCATAGGGTTAGAATACACGCTGGGAGCGATTTACGCTTGACAATGGTTCTTCTTGGACCTTAATGACCCTTTTTTAGTTACTGCATTTTCAGTCAGTTCCAGGGACATTAATACCAGTACATTAGAGTAACCGTTAACCCACAATTCATATCCTCGACCGAAAGGAAAAAGCAAAACAGTATGCGACCATAATGATCATACTAGTAATGAATAGGATATTGTTCCAAATTCGCCCAATCACCACCCAACCAATCCTCGATATCTATTGCTTCATAATCCAACAGAAAGAAATAGTGAGTACCAGCGGACTTAGACTAGCCATTCCAGCAATTTCAAAAGATAAAATGGTACCCGTAAACACCAACTGACGCCGTCGACGCAGCCCAAGCCTCTAGACAACGCTGGGGTCCTGAGACATATCAATTATGAAAAGATTGTCGAATGCTATCAAGAGACGCTGTTGGACCTCTTCAAGACCAACCTCTACAGCGGTTTTGAACACCTCCTCATACACGTCCCACTGCCTCGCATTAACTTTCCTTATCTCGTCCTGAGCCGGTTCAAGTGCTTCCCAAAAGCTGTCCAAGACTTCCTCTTCGGTTGGCTCACGCCCACTTGAATTCACCAGAACAGACATGATGTGTCCATCTTCGGCCTTGATTTCATCCTCGGAGTATAATGTCGAACGGTAAAAGGTCTCCCACTCTGATCGTAGAATAAGACGTCCACAGGCTTGGTAAAACAGCAGGTAGCCCTCTCGGCGTGCGACATGTGCTGTGACCTTTGCGTAGCAATATTTGCCTCTTTCTCTGGCTGCGTCTTGGTCTTTTGCGTGAGGCTTTTTGCCTTTGCCCTTGTCGCCTTTTTTGCCCTTTCCCGTGTCTTTCGTACGATGCCCATCGTACTTGGTGGTGCGCTTGTAGGTGCGTCTGGGAGCCATGCCTGACCTTCTTGCGGAACTTTGAAAGTGTTTTGTAGTAATACAGCGGATATAGAATATAGATAAAATGATATTGTAGATCGATGAAAGACTGTGTGGATTTCTGGGAAGTTTGTAAGTAGGACAACTTTGAGCGCAACCCTCATGTTGGATGATTCTATAACTGGATCGCGACTTCCATATTCGTCACACAGCTTCCTTGTAATCTGAATCAGGTTAAGGCCAACTGTTCAAAAATTATTATTATTATACATATAGATTATAATACAACATGCAGTTTGATCTGTTAACGCCAGCTGAACAAGGTTCTGTTTTAGAGCAGCTCTATATGTCGTTCTGTTCAACGGTGCTTTAGGGGTAGTTCGGTAGCGAGTAAACAATTTCTGGTGCCTGGACGACATCGTCTCAACACCCTAGCCGTGTGACCAGGTATCATCTCTTCTTTCTTTTTTGTACAACGAGATGCCTTCTGCAGGGAAATTCTGCGTTATCCACAAAAATAGCCGAGTTCATGTCATCGACGGTTTCGACAGTGCTTGGCTGAGGCATTCATTATGCTAGTTTGCATACTTGCTCCATGAGCGGAGTCTTTTGCCATACTGTTACACATGAGTTAGAGAGATTGGTCTCCAAGACATAGATGAGATAGCTTACGCGTTCCAGGATGAATGGCAGAGGAACCATTGCAATGGATATGAATCCCAGCGTACTCGATGCCCATCCAATTCCTAGTGACTGTAACATCCTGGGGGCAGCTAAAGGTAAGGCTCCGCCAAATGAACTCCGGAAGAATGTGTTGCCGGCGAATACGCTTGCCACATATCTGGGATAAGATTCTCCTAGGTAGTTAAGAATTGATTGGAAGGTGAGGTAGAATCCAGGTGCGAAGAAGGCTGTTCCAATGATAGGGACAATCCAGTGTACACTTGTATCCTTCATTAGTGTTTGGTCTGAGAGGCGCTTACGATGATGGACTTACCTTTCACGAGAGGTCCATGCAAACATAAAGAGGCAAACTGGGATGCAGATGGCTCCGACCTGGCCAGGGACGAGGCGGGCTTCAGGCTCAACAATAGCATCTGGTTTCGCAACTCGTGGTTGGTAGGAGAAATATAACCACAGCACGTATACAATGACGGACACGACTGCGCCGACAAGGATACCAAAGAACGCAACTAGACTCACTGTCAGGTTGAGTCCTAAGGGGGTTAGGAGAATACCTACGGCCTTGCTGAATTGCGGTGAAGTGGTATATTCCGTCAAAAACTGAGGTAATCGTAAGCCGAAGCACATAGGTCTTGCTGTTCGAATAGTGACATACCAAATGGGAAGAACTCGAACCATAAGTAGAGAATGCCGTATATCAACATAGTGTGCATATTAACAAATATAATGACCGGGTCCATGCAAGAAAGCTTGAAGTCATCTATTGTTTGCCTCACTATACGTATGGCAAGGTTAGACTCCGGTGTGTCGATGTCCGCTTGACTTTGGTAAGACGGGTTTCCTGTCTGGTTGCGTAGTCGCTGGGCGCGCCGAAGAAGGATATTTGAATATAACGTCTCGGGTAACAAGAAGAAAATAAATACGGTCGTGAAAGCTGTGACACCGGAAAGAAGCCAGAGAGTTGCAGTCCATGTCTTCCAACGCTCTCTAGATGTAGACCATCAGTATGAGGTTGTCATGTAAGGCAGGTTGCATACATACATTGCCAATGTTCCAAGGATCTGTTACCCTAAAGTAAGTAAAAGCACGAAAAACTAGTTCTGCCGGGTTTTGCATACCGGTCCTAGAATGGGCCCACACACTCCGCTGACTGCGTACAATGCAATGGCATACGGAATCTCGGTAGGTCCATATACCTCCATCAGTGTAGCACCACCTACACTAATCGGCGCACTTCCAATAAAGCCACTAAAGAATCTCAATATAAGAATAGTATGTAGGTTCTTTGCTAGCGCGGTGCCTATGTTAAACAAACAAAACGCAAGACAACCGAGGACATAGACCGGTGTACGTCCGATAGACGGCAAGCTCGATAAAGGTGAAAGCTAGAGTACATCCATCGTTAGCGTATTTCAAACATTTAACAACGTATACATACAATAAGTGGCCCAATGCCATATGCAATAACAAAAAGTGAGAGTCCCAGTGTACCCTCTGCAGTGGTAGCGCCAAAGACCTCCTCAATTCCCGGTATGCTTGGTGTGAAGATTGCCGACGCCGCATAAAAGCTGAAGTTCAACAACATAACATCCACCATTACGACTGTCTTGGCCAAGGTGGGCCAATTTCTAGGCATATCTGGATCCTCAGGCCCGCTGAAATCGACCAATATGTGGCGAGCGTCACCAGGGCAAGTAGAAGAGCTTGAGCTCGTAGTTTCCTCATGCTTGGGAATATCAAGATCGTGATGTGTAAATAACCGGCCATTTGATACCAAATTGAGTAACCGGCCAAATGAGCTTTCGCGAAGTAGGATGTCCATCGTTAAGATGGCGGAGATTGACAGTCCGTTCTTCGTGTTAACAAATGAAAGACACAGCAGCGAAGGAATGAATGCTGTGTTCCTACTGAGATCAGGAAAGATATTGTTTATTTAATCATATATTTCGGTGTACACGTCTAACGTTATATATGCACTGGTCAGGAGGCAATTGATACATTGATCAATGTCCCTGGTTCGGAATTCCGAGATGTATTCCTCTTTTGTCCAATAAGACTCCACCTTTAAGTCCTATCTCCGTATCCGCCGAAGCCATGATCGGAACTCCGTGCATACTTCCAGTATTAAGCTTCCAATAGAACGCTGCTATACCTTCGATCTAAATTTCGCCCTGAGATACAAATTCTAGACGCATGCCAAAATATGGATTTAGTTAATCTAAATTCTACCATGACTTAAGACCATGTATACCAACAGTCACTCTACTCACTCTACCCCTTTAGGACCCTATATAGATAAAGCTATCTTTATCATTGTCTAACCGAAAAATGACGCTTGCTGCCTGTGAACCACAAAGAAAAGTAAGAGACTTCAGAAAGGCAACAGCAAAAGATGGAGGAATAGGGGAGATGGTCTCCCCAGAAGTACCGCGAGCACAATTGATGAAATGACACACAGGAGCACAACATTGTTTTACCCGCCTAGGATGTCGGAGACATAGTCAAACAAGTTAATCGTGGTCGATGCCGAAATTGCCTTGACGGCCGCTGTGAAGTAGGGAATTTCTTCCCCGTTGTACACGCTTCGATTACCGTGAATACCGATCGTGACCTTTCCATAGTTGGAATTACTACTCTCCCATAATCCCTTTCGAATGAGAAGTTGTATGTCCAAGTCGCCAAGCACAACCGCAGTTGATGTGCCGTTCCGAAGAGTCAGATCCGGGATATCAATATACCCCAGGTCCGAGTCATCTATGGTAAGATTGAAGCTGACGGCACCCTTCGTTGACCAGGTGTTAGCATATTTCAACTGGTAATAAGGAACGTTCCATCTATTAAAAGCTTGATAGTCGGGGTCGAGTCATGACTAACCATTTCAACATTAATTGCGGCTGGGGTATTGAAGACAATCGTAGCGTTTACATTGTACCCATCATTCATGCGAGGATTTAAAAGATCAAGCTTGGTAACGTTAAAAGCGTCGTCACGTTTCATGAATTCTACAGTAAGCCAACTGATTAGTAGGATAGTAGCATATGGCGATACAGACTGACTAACCCTCAACATTTAGTCCTACATAAGTCGAGAAGTCATTAGCCACTTACTGTTGTACCGTATGCCAAACATTGGGGGGGTAGCGTATGCAATAACCTACCCGGCAAGGACACCGTTTTGTGAATGTTCAAGTGGGCAGTGGGAAGTGCTTGCACCTTGAGGGCTGGCTTTCCAGTAATGAGAACTGAAATTTCTTCGCTTCTAACTGCATCTTCAGCCAGTTTTGAGAAACAGCTGACGCAAGACAAGTCCAAATCCTGGTCAATTTCGAGATAAGCATCGTTCCCGAAGTCGATGCGGGGGAAAGGAAGAACAGCAAACGAAGTATCAGACCCCGAGTAGTATATCGAGGCATCAAACTCAGAGAGGTGTCCACTACCCATCCCAACATGGAACTGTTGCGATTGCCGCACATGGAACGAGTTAGGCGTGGGATTTGTGATAGACAAGCCGTCGAAGTCGAATTTGTACTTATTAATGCGATCATTGGCAAAGTGAGGAACTCCAACGTAAACCCTTTTTGACTGATTAACTGAATTCGAAAATGTATGGAGTAGAAAGGCTCACAGTGGGAGAACGGTGACCAAGACAATACAGCCCAGACCGATCAGATATAGCCACCACCATTTCTTCATATGAGCCTTCCATCTTTGGAATAATGTCGGTTTTGGAACGGCAGTGCTCTCGATCTCCTCTAGTTTTAATGAGCTTTGCTCAGAATTGTCTTTTGACATGTTCAATAGAGTGCCATGGATTATTTTCTGGACTTCGTTTTCCCAAGCAAAGACGCAAGGGTTGAGCTCTCAGCCAATTTAGGTTTCGGTCACGGGATCTGCACTTCGGATACAACTGCATATAGCAAAGGTCACCATAAGACGCAGACAAGTGGGGTGGGGGAAACAGGGGTAGAAAAGGGTCCTTCCTGAAGCTGCTGTGGCGATTTAATTGCAGTTTGAAATTGTTGGAAGGGGTCTTACCCCGTGGGGCCAATTCCTGATGTCGATCCTTTCACATGAGATGCGATAAATGGATATATCTTGAATTACCCGGCATACACCACGGAAATTCGATGGATGTTGTCATGTTTGTTATGAATAGGTTAGATCATTTCATGGGCAACAAGCTTTACGCCACTAAGGTCTCTGTCGACCTCAATTTGGAAGCAGCAAGCTTTTGAAAGACTATCTGGTATGCTCGGTTACAACCACGAGTTCAGAAAACCTCGGACGTAACCCTAAGAGGTGGGTGATCAGCACTAGACCCCGCTGTACAGCCGCAATATCTGCTCATCAAGGCACCTTGCCTATTTATGCCTACTACAGAAAGTTTTAAGGCTCTATATCGCTACCAATTCTACATATGTTTAAGTAGATATAATATAAATATTTATATAGATGTAATCTAGAATATATGGAGATATCACATATTTTTATAAAATCCAGATTCTAGTATTTTCACATGATGCCAAGAAAAGCACGCGTGAGTTTTCCAGGTTCGGGGAAAACTTTGGCCCTCGAACCCAGAAACACAGAGCGGGTTCTGCCTTCCATCCCCGCACCCGACCCGTGAAATACGTTATGTAGACTGTGTAGGTAACTGTGCAACTCTATATATATAACGCGGAAGTGAAATCGCTTAAATCACTGTTTTTTATTATTCTAGGGAACACGCCAGCGCGTCAACATATCTACTAGCTGGTATGTAGGGGTATGTAGGGGCTTGTCTAGCTCTCTGATCCACGGTCGCGGGATAGGGCCCCTTTAAAAACCTACATAGTATAAAATAGTCTATACTTTATAACATAACTCCTACGGCTATTTAACCCTATCCTAGATCCTTTACATACTAACCTTATAACACACACTTCCTGGGAATCACTACTTTTAGATATCACCTCTTTCTAATACACTTTGAAAGTCTACCTATCTAGTCCCAATTTATAATTCCCCTGCTATACTCCACAATTTAATATAACATTTATTAATATATTTAGTAGACAGTACCGTTTCCATCTAGTAGTCTACTTTGTAGACTTTTAGATAAATCTTATGATTGGTGGTATAAGGCCTGAGAGGAAGCTGTCTACTATATATATATATATATATATATCTGTATCTATAGTGCACTGTACTCCGCCCGCGAACGCCCGCGAACGCCCGTAGAGTGCAGTGTAAGCCTATATCTAGGGAGGGACCATACCATAACCTCACAACAAATACCAGAAGATGGTAATCGGCCTACCTCGTTCCTTTATATTCTCACTTATTTACAACATAGTATCTATATCAGTTCCGTCTATTGAGAAGTCCTCCAGAGCTCATTTACAGCAGCAAACATGAAGCTTGTACCTACTCTACTTGTATCGGGCCTCTGTGTCCTGGCTGCCCCTATGGCCGAGGTCAGAAACTACTCATTTCTGCTTACTATTTCGTCCAAGAAGCTAATTTGATCCAGTCTAATGCGGTCGAGGACTACGTTATCGAAGTTGGCAAGCGCGATG